AGGGGGGTGAAGGGAATGGTTCGGTACATGTGTGTGGTGATGGGTTGTAGTTGGTGTTTTGGTGGTGAACATGATGTAATCTGTGCAGAAGTGGATGTGTAGTGATGTACACCTGAAATTTTTACAATGTTGTAAACCAATGTTACTGCAATAAACAAAAAATTAAAAAAAAAAAAAAAGAAAAAATCCCACATTATTACCATCTGGAAAAAAAAAAAAAAAGTTACCCTTCCTCAAGATGCCACTGAAGGATACTTTCTACCCAAGCAAGGAAATAAACCAAGAAAGGAAAAATACATGAAATTAGAAAACAGGAGAACCAGCACTAGGACGTGAAAGGAATCTCTAGGATGATGGTAAAGGGAGATGCTTGGATGACAACAAATGGACGTTCCAGGATGATAGTCATGCAGCAGGCCCAGAAAGAAACCAGCCCACGTAAGAGGGAAATGCAGGTCCCTGGTAAGAAGGTTTCCAAGAAAAAAAATTGGAATTGCTGTATTAATGCTACAAAACTGACCTTGCGGAAAGTGTACTGAGGAACTATTTAAAAGAATAGGAAGAATTAGCTATGGTAACAATGAAAATTAAGAAAAGGCAATTATTAACTTCAAGAAAAAGAAAAAGAGGGGCCGGCCCCGTGGTGCAGTGGTTAAGTTGGCACATTCTGCTTCTGTGGCCCGGGTTTGCAGGTTCAGATCCCAGGCAAGGACCTATACCACTCATCAGCCATGCTGTAGCGGCAACCCACATATAAAGTAGAGGAAGCTGGCACAGATGTTAGCTCAGGGCTAATCTTCCTCAGCAAAAAAAAAGAAAAAGAAAATAATGATATTTATAATATACTACAACATTCCACTGAGAATATCTTTTCATAATAATGTAAACACTGAAAACAGATCTAACGCAAAATTACAATATTACTGTATTAATAGTATGGGAAAGGAGAAACAGTGGGGGCAGAGGTGTGAGAGCCAAATCTTTATCTAATAAGAAGCTAATGGATAATATCTAAAATCATTGAATCAATAAACAGCATTACATTCTTACTATTTAGAATTATGGAATTAAGTAAATGCCAGAAGATACGGCAAATGGAATCTAAACTGGTTCCCTCTAGAAGAGGGGAAAGAAGAGGATGTGTGGACAGAGAAGTCTTTATGTTGTTATCAGCACTCTACTTCTATGTGACTTTCCAAATCATGTGCATGCATTATTTTGAGAAGCATTATTTTTTAAAATCAATGTTTTATCAAGTCTTAGTAAAGCTAAGTTCTGTGAAATGTAATTTTGCTGGTAGAGTCTCGTTTTGTTATATGAGAGCATTTCAACAAATTTGAGACAAATTATAGAATTATCTTGAGAAGTATTAAACTGATATTGGCTAGGAGAATTATTGAATTATGGGTATTGCTCAGCGAGAGCTTCCTAGAAAAAGTGGATCACAAGCTAGAATGATGTATGTTACTCAGAAAAAGGCCACAGGCAAAACCCTCTGGGGGAGAATGTGAAAATTAAACCAGGAGTTTCATTTCCCAAGGCTGTCACTCTCTCTCTTTCTTAAATGTTCCACTAAGAATGGTTAGTCCTACATCTCCCCAGAGCTTCCCTGGGCTCCTCTGGGTGATACTGGCATAGGTATGAAAGACATTTTTTTCTTAGGTTGATGGATTTATAGTCAAGGCAGGAACATTTGCTCAAAGTTATCTGCAATACATCATATATTCATTAACTCATTAACTCAAAGCGCATTTACTGATCCCTACCCTGTGTCAGGCCCAGGGCTAGGCACTGAGGATATGATGATGAAGATGACAAAGGTCTCTGGCCAAAGGACAACAGCTTGGGAAATGGGATTCCTACAGCAACTGACAGGACTGTCATGTGCACCCACCAAAGCCTCTTATCCCGTGCATCTTAAAGTGCTAAATAGTTCCCCAGCCTGTGAACATGAACCCCAGCAGACACCCAGATCAGAAAGCGCAGGAAGTCTCCTGTCACCGTGATTAATGTGGAGGGAGCATGAAAGACAAATTGATGCTTCCAACAGGAAAACTAAAATGTGTTTGTGAGGAGGGAGGGCTAAAATAACAGAGACAGCATTTAATCTAAACCATTTCCTGTGACTTGGATTTCTTTTTTAAAAATTGGCCGCCTTATCATTTTCTTAGTCACCTTTTCTCTAGGCTTACTGGAGGCGTAGTCCCTCCTAGCAACCTCCCATCTGCTGGAAAACAGAATCAAGAGAATGGGGAGCTGTGATGACACATCCATCCCTGGATGAAAGTATTAGGAGAAAAGCAACAAATGTTTCACCTATTTGCATCAAGCCTATTAATGCCCTCTTCAGACTAATGAAACGAATTTCACATCACCGAGAGAGCAGCTGTGATCCACTGCTTCTAGTAATGAGGAGTATTTGAAACAATCTGCAAACCACTGCTACTCCTAATTGCCAAGCAACACCACTGACTATAGTTCTCTCCAAGTAAAATACTCTCATTGTTGGCCAGAGGGAGACTTATCTTTATCAAAGATTCATCCATTGGGCTCCTCTTTGCCCAAAACGCTGTTGGGATTCTTTTGTTCCTGTTTTCTCATGCTAGTGCAGATCCATGGCATTTTAAATCTTTTTTTTTTTTTTAATCAAAACTAGTGTCTTTTCTTTTTTTCCTAGTAGCAATTCAAAACCATTCTGAGGGGTATTGAGGGGTCCTGGGGCAGGACCTTCCTTTCTGGTGTGTTGGTCCCAGGTTAACATGAGCCTTTACAATGGCCAGGCAAAGCGACCTTCTGTCAGGCTGCGCTCTACATGCAAACAGCGAACACAAGATATTCCACAGTCCAGGGATTCGCGGCTCCCGCGAGGCAGCGTGGGGGGCGCGGCAAAGACTGGAAGGGGATCCACCGGGATTGGGAGGGGAGACGCGGAGAAGAAGGTGGAGAATAGGCATCATGTGTGTTCCTCGAGTGTACAACCCACATTTGAGTGACAAATGACGAGGACAACCTATAAAAACAACTAAGCGCAAATCTGCCCGAATCCATCTCCCTCTCTGTGCGAGTGCGTTGTCAACTAACTTTGGGAACTCGTACACCCAGCGTCGCGCCCCGCGCAGCCTCGCCTCCACCTTGCTTTCCCGCGCCCTGCCTGCCTTCTTCGCTACCTCCTCTTCCTCCAGGCTAAGGATGGAGGATCCCTTCAGCCCCTCAACTCTGTCGCCGGCACCCAACCTCTCCGTACCCATCTCGCTGGGCTGGGGTCTCAACCTGACTTCCGGACAGGGAGCCCCCGCCCCGGGGCCGCCGCCGCCGCCGCCGCCGCCCGGGCCGCCCAGCCGCCGCGTCCGCCTGGTCCTCCTGGGGGTCATCCTGGTGGTGGCGGTGGCCGGCAACGCCACGGTGCTGTGCCGCCTGTGTGGCGGCGGCGGGCCCTGGGCGGGTCCCAAGCGTCGCAAGATGGACTTCCTGCTGGTGCAGCTGGCCCTGGCCGACCTGTACGCGTGCGGGGGCACCGCGCTGTCGCAGCTGGGCTGGGAGCTGCTGGGCGAGCCGCGCCGGGCCGCGGGCGACCTAGCGTGCCGCTTCCCGCAGCTGCTGCAGGCATCCGGCCGGGCCGCCTCGGCCCACCTCGTGGCGCTCATT